TTTGTTATAACTAAATATGGAACAATTATAAATAATAAGTACCAATTTTTACATGCCACTCCAGATTTTTTCTGTGAATGTGATTGCTGTGGACAGGGATGTGGTGAAGTCAAGTGCCCCTACTGCATAGATGGAGTTGACTTTGACAGCTATGTGCAAAAGAAATCTTCCTGTTTGCAGAAAAATGAATCTTGTTTCCAACTCAAAAGAGATCATGACTATTATTACCAAGCACAACAACAAATCCATACAAGTGGGAGAGGATATTTAGATTTTATTGTGTTCGCCTCAGATGGGCAAACATCGAAATTTTTCCTGGAAAGACTTGCTCCAGACATGAAACACTGGGAAACACAAATTCTCAAACTAGAGACTTTCTGGAGAATTTGCATATTACCAGAAATATTGGGAAGATGGTATACCAGAAAGATAGATTTAAAAGCCCAGCTTTCCCCAGAAGAAGTCGCAAAACCTGGTGACTGTTACTGCAGGGAAACAACTAGTGAAGCACCAATAACATGTGCCAACCACACATGCAAAATATCCAGATTTCATCCATCCTATTTGGGTATCAAGAATGTAACAGTTCCAAAACTGTGGTACTGCCCTCATTGTAGAAAGTTGCCTCAATTTACCAGGGCAAAAAACAAGAAATTGCCTGAAATGCAGGATCAATTCGTAAGTGAGGCAACAAAACTTGCAACTATCTGCACATGTCAAAAAAAAGCACAGGCAAATGATAAACTGCCGAAATGTCATAATGAACAGCGCTGAAATGGTAAATTTTTTCATCTGTCATGCATGTCTTACAAACGTTATCCAAGCAATGCAAGAACAGCCTGGCTTGGCTATAACTGCAAGATTACAGCACCTAAAAGTAGACCATCAACACCAGCTCAAGGGGATTCTGATTTGGTAGGAAACCAGCTGGAACACCCGATAGTGTAATGTCAGCCCCTATTATTAATGATTCAAACTCCCAAAGTGATACTGATTTGAAGGCAGATTCACCTGCAACACCAATCAACATCGGTGCAAACACCCCACAGGATAGTGATGTGGAAGGAGAATCATCCCGAAATCCTGACCCAGATGTTTTGTTTGTCAAAGAAACTGTCAACACAAATGTTAATAAGACAGGTTCACTTGGGAATCTGACTGAAAGAGAATTTGCATTGATAGAGGATACACATGGCTGGTTAGACTGTTCTATAATCCACCAGGCACAAATCTACCTCAAACAGTTAAATCAGAACATTGAAGGATTTCAAGGGCCAACACTTGGTCCAATAAGAGCCTTTGACATTATCAGTGGTGAATTCATACAGATTTTGAACACTGGAGGTAACCACTGGGTATGTTTAAGTTCCATTGGTTGCTCCAGTGGCCATGTTAATTTATATGACAGTTTTTTTCATGATGTTGTCTGTGACGACATTGAGGAACAGGCAAGAAGTCTACTCGGACAGGACTTCAGGGGAATTAATGTTGTCCCTATTCAGCAGCAACTAAATGGATCTGACTGTGGGATATTTGCTATAGCATTTGCTACGAGCCTTGTTTTTATGCAAGACCCCTTGAGTATTCAATTTGATATCCCGAAAAT